GCTGCCCTTTATAGTCTGTGTGCTTGTAAAGCTTCAACTTTTTACTTTACTGCTTTTTTAAAAAAAACAAACAAACTATTTGCTGTCCAAAACGTTCACTCTCCTGCCAAAATAATCATAACCTCGATTGCATGATGGCCCTCATTAGAGAAGTGGGTTGTGTCACAAGCAAATTTCTTTAAAGCCCTGGCCATGGAATAGACCCAGGGGCCGCACCTCGATAGGTGACTTTGGGAAGACTATTAACTCTCGGAAAACAGGCCTTCTGGGACTTAAAAAAGGTGGAGTAGAGAAATAGTCTGTCGCAGTTCGGCTTTTTTTTTTTTTTTTTAAACCTGACATGATTGGATGCCCTTCTGGTGATACTTGTCTCATTCTGTTTTTCCTTGTAAACCAAACTTAACATGAATGTGGGGCAGATTTTACATATAGTGTATCCTGCATTGAAGCTGAGCTTGGCTTGCATATTACTAAAATTCAATTTTAAATATTAAAAACACTTTTGAGCTATAGTGAAGTAATGCAAAGCTGATTCTTTCCCCCTTCCCCTCCTTTGTTTGAAATGGAATCCCTGCAAATCTTCAATTGTGACCTTGCTCTGCTGGAGAAATAGATACCTTTTTAAAACCGTAATAAAATTAAATAAAATAAATCGACACCCCCTGCTTGTTTACTTTTCTTCATTGTTTGGGCTAGTCAGAGTGGACGGACCTTTCAGATCTGCAGGTAATATTTGGGGGCTGGGGCTGTGAGCTGCGACGGGTGGGCGGGGGGGTCACATCACATGCTGGAACTGGCATTTTATATGTTTTTCCTGGCTTGGTGGGATGATAGCCTTCATTGGGATGGCAGATCTAGTGCCCACTTGATCCTGGGTGAAAATCCAGTTGCTATGGATCTTAAATTTTTTTCAATCTTGGCAGCCTGTCTGGAATAAGGTAGTCCTTGACTTGTGACAGTTCAAAGTTACAATGGCACCGAGAAGTCGCGCATGACCATTTTTCACAACCATTGAATCGTTCCCAGGGTCATGTGATCAAAATTCAGATGCTTGGCATGTGACGCAGGACGAGTTGTGTCCTGGGGTCATGTGATCACTTTTTGAGACCTTCCGACACAAAGTAAATGGAGAAGCCACAAGTCGCAAAATTCATTGAACAAATGTCTCATTTAGCAACAAAGTTTGGGCTCAATTGTCACAAGTCAAGGACTTGCGTATACAATGGGAGCCATGGCCAATGGAGGAACTGAGGCACACCCACTGCTGTTGGAACAGAAGGAGCTACTGTGGGAGGCAGCCTTTGTGTTTCTAGCAACTATGTTGGCATAGCCCAAGAATCCAGCAACCATCCTGGATCAAAGATTTTTTAAAATCGGGTGAACATTACAGTTCCGATTTTCACATCCAGGGTAAATTGCATGATAAGCTAAGTGCAATAAGAACTAGAAGCCTAACTTTCTGGAGTGGAAGCTCAAAATGTCCACCATCTTCAGGGTATTTGGGCAGTCGGCCTTTTTCAAAGAGCAGTCATGCTTCACACAGCAACCCTAACTTTTGGGCAACGTAAAGGTTGCCCCTGAAAGTGGGAAGGCGAGCCATATCAAATGGGCTTGTTACGACAATTGCTAGGATAGAGCCATGGTGGCCTAGTGGTTAGAATGCAGTATTGCGGGCTAATTCTGCCGGCTGCCAACGGTTTGACTCCCACCGGCGCAAGGCTGACTCAGCCATCTTTCCGAGGTTGGTAAAACGATCCAGATGGTTGGGGGCAATATGCCAACTCTATAAACGGCTTAAGACAGGGCTGTAAAGCACTGTGAAGCGGTATATAAGTCTACTATTGCTATTGTGATAGCATCCTTACAAACCTCTAGAAGCTAAGCATGCGAGGGAGCTGGTAGGGGCCTGAATGGCATAATGACTGGGGAATTCTGGAGAGTTGTGGTCCGCATATCTTAAAGTTGCCATGGTTGACAAACACTGCTCCGGAGATACATCTCCTGCATATGGTGTATATTTTACACACACAAACACAAATACAACAGACATATTCACAAGTTAGTAGTTCAGGTTGGTAGTTAGGCCGTTGGTTTGAGCTCCGAGCTTACCAATTTGGTTGCAAACGTTTCATCACCATTCGAGGAGACCTCGTCCGTGCCCTTTGAGTTGTGCTCGTCTGTCAAGGCCTTTAAATCCCTTTTTATGAGGTGCAAATTAGTCTGAATAAGACGAACACAATTCAAAGCGAGCAGAGGATGTCTCCCCGAATGGTGACGAAACGTTTGCAACCAAGTTGACGAGCTCAGCTCAAACCAACAGCCTAAATATTCACAAGACTTTTAGCGCCAGACAAAAAATTGTCCCCGGTAGCTTTTAAGTAGATAGGAGATGGCGACACAAGACATTCAGGAGAGAGTTGAATGCAGGTGGAGAAGCTGACACCTTGCAGGGACCTACAGGTAGTCCTGTACTTAAAACCACAACGGAGTCCCACCTTTCTGTTGCTAAGTGAGTCATTTGTTAAGCGATTTTAAGTGAATCTGGCTTCCGCATTGACTTCGTTTCTCCGAAGGTCGCAAAAGGGGACACTGAAACCGTCATAAATACGAATCAGTTGCTGAGCGTCCAAATTTTGATCGTGTGACCCGTGGGATGCTGCCAAGGTCATGAATGTGAAAAATGGTCACAAGTCAGTAATTGTTTTTCAGTGCCGTAACTTGGGAGCCAAGGACTACCTTGTAGTGTAAAGTTTGATTATAGTGACTTACGGTATTTTAGGGAGATAGCTTTGAAAGATGGCTTACGTATATTCAATTAATAAATACCTACTTTCAATAATAGTCTGTAGAGATTCTCAGTCCTCCAGGTCCTGGTTGTCCCAAAGGTGGTTTTTTTTTTTTTTTTTTTCAGGAGACAACTGGACTTTCCGGTTTTATCTTTTGAAGATGTTTCGCTTCTCATCCAAGAAGCTTCTTCAGCTCTGACTGGATGGTGGGGAAAGGAAGGATTTATATTCCTTTTGCAGACAGCTGGTCATTTGCATACTTTTTAGTGGGTCTTTGAGGCCACCTGGACAGGCCAAAGTCCACATTTTGGTTTGAAAGGGGGTCAAAGAGACCATCTGTGCCAAAACTGTACAGCCCTCCATCAACAGAGGGGGGTGGGATACAACATCATCTACCTCCTGTCTACAACATCGTCTTTTCAGCAGTTCCAAGAAGGCTCCACACCCATTTGCACCACTCAGGTGACTCTGAGGACACAGATAAACCTCCAAGCGGCCTCAACAACCCTCTAAAAGGATGCAAATGACCAGCTGTCTGCAAGGAGTATAAATCCTTCCCCACCACCCAGTCAGACCTGAAGAAGCTTCTTGGATGAGAAGCAAAATGTCTTCAAAAGAAAAACAGCCCAGTTGCCTCCTGAAAAAAAACAACAACCCTTTGTGACCTACTTTCAATAATATTTAATGCTATTTCTTATTTTACTGGCTGTTTATTAGTAAAAAATAGACATCATCCTCAGGTACTCAGATTTCTAGGCTGAGGAAATTCGCTTCCCTATAGCTGTTTTTTTTTAATCTTATAGTTACTGAAGATATTAAGGGAATTGCCAGCAAATGAAATGTCTAAATATCTGCAACGATCATCTTGGACAAAACTGTTAGAAGGTATTATTTGGACTTGGTGCTGGCTTGTCTAAAAACTTAATAGGCAAAGTGTAAAAGCAGAGATAATATCTGTTGTGAACAATGTGAAATCACAGCTGCCGTTTCTTTCAACAGCTCTTGGCCTCCATCCACACAGAGTTCTTCCGTGAAGAACCGAGGATTTCGTCATTATTTGGCATTGTACACGTGTGGGTCCCTGCCTTTTGCAATTCTTTGCGTTATTCCCACCATATCGCATGGTTGCAGTTGACAGATGGACATGTCTTAGTCCCAAGAGTTTTTAATGTTTCGGTCCAGTGGAACGATAATGCCTGAGATCACTATCAATTATGATTTATGCCATAAACTTTCAACTTTCCATTTCAGATCTTGACCCTTTCTGATCTTCTCCAGTTCTGTGTCTTTTATTCTGCTATGCCCAAGTATATGTTCCCACCCATTTTTGCATTACGGCCACAGTACGATAATTTTTGCAGATTTCTTCTTCTTCTTCAGATTGTGCGTGTGCACCACTGTGCCTACCGTCCCTGTCCTTTTGTCCCCATTTATTCGTATCTATTTCCTGTATTCTTACTCATGTTTATACTTCTACCTATTGCCTTGTAAGCGACTGACAAATCAAATAAATAAATAAAAATAAAATGTTCCAGTGAAACATTTTGGATGACTCTGTGATGTTGTTGATCGTCAGTTTGTGCAATTTTCTTGCATGAACTGAGTCTACTGTTTCTTCTGCTTTTTTTCTTCTTTTTTTCACAATCTGAACTCTGAATCATTGGACGATTCCCCCCCCCCCCAGTTCTGGCCTTATGTGTGTATTGTTATTATTTTAATAACATTACAATTCCCTTTAAATGGCAGTGTGGATGAAGGATGCCCTTGTTATCCTTCTTCAGTTTTCAGTACATTCAGGTCAAGGTTTACATTTGCTTTATCACTCTGCAATTATTTTTATCATCATGACAAAGCAGAGCTTGGTTGCCCTAGTGCCCCAGTTTCTTGTCACACCCCCAGGGGAGGCGTGTGTGTGTGTGTGTGTGTGTATGTTTATGTGCTCCCAGCTCTTTGTCCCTTCTATCGTCACCTTATGTTGTGACTTCCCCTTGTAGCTCATTGGCTTTCAGGCATCGTCCGGGCAACGAGAGAACACCAAACCGAAGAGGCTGGTCCGTTTCCTTACAGCAGAGACCGGCTTGCTCATTGGCCAGGGGCGTTGCCTATAGCAACGGGAAGACGCTGATCGGAGCTGCTTTTGTGGCAGTCGAGCATCCTTGAGGCCTCTGAGGGAGCAGGGGAATTTCCTGGCCTGGCCAAGCTGCCACCGGAGCCATGTCTCAGCCTGCTGTGCTTCTCACCCAGGAGCCTGCTCCGCAGTGTATCCCCGTCTCGGAGCTCCCCATGAAGGTTTACGAGCCGGCTCTGAACACCGGTCCCGATTCTTCCAGCGGTTTGGCCACGGCCGGCTTCCGCACCGCCAAGTTCCTGCCCGAAGAATGGCAGCAGAACAACTACACCCGATACCACGAGGCCTTCGCCGACCGCGACCACTCTGAGCGCTGCCGCCACGAGTCCCAGAACCTGGCCAATTACACGGCCGAATTGGCCCAGCGCACCCAGGAGGACTCCACGGCTAAGGTGGGCCAGAGGCTCCAGGACATCCACTTCTGGAAGTCGGAGCTCCAGAGGGAGATTGAGGACCTGGTGGCTGAGACTGACCAGCTGGCGGCTCAGAAACTGCGGCTGGAGCGAGCCATCGATGCCGTGGAGGTCCCCTACAGCATCGCCATGGACAACCTGCAGTGCCGGGAGCGCCGGCAGCATCCGGACCTGGTGAGGGACCAAGTGGAGGTAGAACTGCTCAAGGTAAGGCACTTCCTTCATAAATGGTCTCATGGCTGTTTGCACGTTCTTGGAGTCAGGGAAGAACTCGAGCTGAGGCTGGAGTGCTATTTATCTCTCTATCATCTCTCTAGCATCCCTCTATCTATCTACCTGTGTTCTAACCACTGAATCACTATGGCAAGAGAGAGACAGAGGTGGGTAGATAGGTAGATAGATAGAGGGATGCTAGATAGATGATAGAGAGAGATAAATAGCGCTCCAGCCTCAGCTGTAAAAAGCTCCAACAATTGGGGAAGTAGGATGTCCTTGATCTAACCTGCACCAACCAGCAGTTTTTGATGTTGGAGCTAGCCCTCCCAGAGGTATGCAACCACGAGGGCTAGGAACTTGTCTACAAAAGTTTTTAAAAAAAGGGTGGAGGGGGACTTTTAAAACAAAATGCTGTGCTGTATTTTGCTTCTGCTTTGAAATCCACAAGAGGCTAAGTGGATGGAAGGTACCCCCATCATTTTAAAGGCTTCCCTTCGTTGCCTTTGCATGCAGTGCTGTACTCATATTTTCCCCGTTTTCATTTAGGAGACCGAGCTCATCCGAAATATCCAAGAGCTCCTGAAAAGGACGGTGAAGCAAGCTGTTAATCAGATGCAGTAAGAACTCTATTCGGCCATGACCAACTTCTAGGTTTTGGTGGATGTGGGGGAGGGGGCGACACGCCTTGAACTGAGTGTCCTCTTTCTCAAATGAAGTGCGTGTAATTCAAGAGAGGTACTAATACCACTCTATAAAGCCTTAGTAAGACCACACCTAAAATACTGCATTCAGCTTTGGTCACCACACTACATCAAAAAAAGATGTTGAGACTCTAGAAAAAGTGCAGAGAAGAGCAACCAGGATGATTAGGAGACTGGAGGCTAAAACATACGATGAACAGTTGCAGGAACTGGGCCTGGCTACCCTAGGGAAGAGAAGGACCAGGGGAGACAGGAGAGCAGTCTTCCAATATTTGAGGGGCTGCCACAGAGAGGAGGGGGGTTAAGCTATTTTCTAAAGCCCCTGAAGGCAGGACAAGAAGCAATGGATGGAAACTAATCAAGGAGAGAAGCAACCTAGAAATAAGGAGGAATTTCCTGACGGTGAGAACAGTTGATCAGTGGAACAACTTGCCTCATAAGTTGTAGTTGCTCGAATGCTGGAAGCTTTAAAGAAGAGACTGAATAACCATTTGTTATTTCCTGCCTAGCTAATCCAGGAAAGATTCAAACTGGAAATAAGGAGAAATTTTCTGACAGTGAGAACAAGCAACCAATGGAACAAATTAAAGTTGCCTTCAGAAATTGTGGGAGCTTCATCACTGAAGGCTTTCAAGAAGAGACTGGACTCCCATCTGTCAGAAATGCTGTAGGGTCTCGTGCTTGGGCAGGGGGTTGGACTAGATGACCCACAAGGTCCCTTTCAACTCTGTTATTCTGTATTATCTGAAAGCAATCATAAAGCTTAAGATAAGAAATCAGAAGTTTCTTTTGCGAGGAAAGAAAACCTGAAGGAAGCTTGACAGATAATCCACAATTTATGACTGGGACCAGAATTTCCATGGCTAATCAAGGTGGCTGTTGAGTGAATCCTTAAATGCTATAGGGTCTCATGCTTGGGCGAGGGGTTGGACTAGATGACCTATAAGGTCCCTTCCAACTCTGTTAAACCTGTTAAACCTTCCCCAACTTTGCCTCCCAGGTTCCCAACCTCTTTGCCCAACTTTGCCCAACCGAACAGGAGAGTGATTTTGTCTGGATGAAGTTCTGGTCCTACCACACATTGCCAAGTTCTTGTTTAAAAAAAATTGATTAAAAATGCAGGTCAACTTACAGTCACAATTATGATTGGAATGACCATTGCTAAGTAAGGCGGTCGTTAATTCTGCAACCTTTTTTTGCAGCAGTCTTTAAGTAAATGATCATGGCCATTAAGTAATCAAGCCCTGGTCATACAATTATTAAGTGAATCCCGGGTCAGCTGGGAAGGTCACCAATGTTGACCATGGGATTCTGGGGTTCTGCAACCGCTGTAAATAAATGCCAGTTGCCATGAGCCCAAACTTTGATCATGTGGTCATAGGTACTGATGGCAATTTTAACAATAGAAATAGCCTTTAGACTTATATACCACTTCCCAGTGGTTTACAGCCTTCTCTAAGTGGTTTACAGAGTCAGCCTCTTACCCCCAACAATCTGGGCCCTCATTTTTACCCTCCTGGGAAGGACGGAAAGCTGAGTCAACCTTGAGTCGGTCATGATCGAACTGTTAGCAGTCGGCAGAATTAGCTTGCAATCCTGCATTCTAACCACCGAATCACTATGGCAAGAGAGAGAGAGACAGAAAGAGAGAGGTAGGTAGGTAGATAGAGGGATGCTAGATAGATGATAGATAAATAGCAATAGCACTTATATACCGCTTCATAGTGCTTTACAGCCCTCTCTAAGCTGTTTACACAACTAGCGTATTGCCCCCAACCATCTGGGTCCTCATTTTACTGACCTTGGAAGGATGGAAGGCTGAGTCAACCTTAAGCTGGTCAGGATTGAACTGCTGGCAGTGAGCAGAGTTAGCCTGCAATATCGCATACTAACCACTGTGCACCATGGAAGGAGGGAGGGAAGGAAGGAAGGAAGGAAGGAAGGAAGGAAGGAAGGAAGGAAGGAAGGAAGGAAGGAAAATAGCAATAGCACTTAGACTTATATACCACTTCACAGTGCTTTAAAGCTCCTCTTAGCTGTTTACAGAGTCAGCCTATTGCCCCCAACCATCTGGGTCCTCATTTTACTGATCTCGGAAAGATGGAAGGCTGAGTCAACCTTGAGTCGGTCAGGATCGAACTCCTGGCAGTGGGCAGAGTTAGCCTGCAATACTGCATTCTAACCACTGTGCCACCATGTCTCTTTTAAGTATGTGGAAGAGACATAAGTCACTTTTTTCAGCATATTCACTATATCAGATAGTTGTTAAATGGTCAGAAATCAAAATTTTACCTGTATAGGATCCATACTTTAGACTGTCAGGGTTGTTATTATAATGTTAGTGTCAAAATGAAACAAACTGACCGGCACAGACTGGAAAATTACTTCAACCATATGCACTAAGTTGTCCCCTTATTTGACAGTTTAATAAGCCAAGTCAATGGGGAAAACAAGAGTCACTCCAACAACCTTGTTACTAACTCGGCAACTTCAGCGACAACAGTGGCAAGAAAAGTTTGCAAAACGGGGCAAAACTCACTTGACAAGCGTCTCACTTAACAACAGAAATTTTGGACTCAATTGTGGTTTTGAGGATTACCTGTAATGCATTAAAATAAAATAAACAAGAACACCAGTGGTTATTTCAATCACCACCTCCAAGAAAGCCAACTCTGAAATATCAAGAGCAGCAATAGGCTAACATGCCAGGAAAAAAAAAGAAAAGAAAGGAAATTGAGGGTTGAGAAAGAACTCACTAATTTTCGTTTTTTTATTCAAGAACAAAGTAGTCTCGAAGGTGCTTTTTTCAGGAGGCAACTTGTTTTTTTTTCTTTTGAAGACATTTTGCTTCTTATCCAAGAAGCTTCTTCAGCTCTGACTGGATGGTGGGGAATGGAAGGATTTATACTCCTTGCAGACAGCTGGTCATTTGCCTCCTTTTAGAGGGTTGTTGAGGCCACTTGGAGGGTTTATCTGTGTCCTCAAGATCACCCGAGAAGTGCTCTTGGTTCCTCTAGTCTGAATTGCCTCTTGAAAAAGTACCACCGGGACAAGAACGCAGAAAAATTCTTGGTCCATATTGTGCAGACATGTTGACAGACCTGTTCAGATAAAAGACACATGTCCCACCTAACTCCAGGTACATAAGAAGCATTCTTATACTGGCAATAATGAACACGAGCTGTTTATCTCCTGGTTCTGAGTGGTGCCTCTGGATTGGAAAGAAACAAGCTGCCAGAAGTGCTCCTGGTTCCTGTAGTCTGCAATTTTCCCTCTGGAAATCCATTCCTACTCCCATACCATTGGAAGGGTGTTCATCCCAAATTGTATTGCTAAAAGTCTGTAGAGATTGTCAGTCTTCCAGGTCATGGTTGTTCCATTAATATTGTAACATTGTTGTTCATTTGGGATGAACACCCTTGGAATGGTGTGGCAGTAGGAATGGATTTCCAGAGGAAAAACTGCAGAATACAGGAACCAGGAGCACCACTCAGGTGACCCTGAGGACACAGAGAAACCTCCAAGTGGCCTCAACGACCCTCTAAAAGGATGCAAATGACCAGCTGTCTGCAAGGAATATAAACCCTTCCATTCTCCAATATCCCGTCACAGCTGAAGGAGCTTCTTGGATGAGAAGCAAAACATCTTCAAAAGAAAAAACCAGAAACTCCAGTTGCCTCCTAAAAAAGCACCTTTGGAACAACCATGACCTGAATCTCTACAAACTTCAAGAAAAAAGTAATGATTTTATTTTGGGTTCATTTCCTGTTCATCCACCAGATGGCGGTATAATATAGGAAACAAGGAGATGGATTCTGCGGTTGAAGTTACAGGATTAAACCTAATTTTCAAAAAATTGTTAGTTGACAAAATGCAGTAAAGATCCTATAGTTTTGTTTTAAAATCTCCCCGATGCTTTATTTTTGTAGTCAAATACAGGAAAGCCAAAAAGGGTATCTAGATCTGAAAGCAAGCTAAATTATTTAGGTTTATGGATAATAAAGAGGCGAGTAAACGTCTTGAATCTCAAACTTATATTTTCTGCTTTGGACTCCATTCTTTTGTGGCTCTGTTCATTTGTAAATTACAGATTTTTTTAAAAAAAGACAATGTGCAACCACCAAAATAAGCTTCTTTCAAGTCCCTGTCAATATTTTCTTGCTTGCACCGCCTGGCAGCTCTTAAATTCTTTGCAAAATTCATCGCTGCTTAATTCTTACGGGTGATTATCATGGAGTGATTTGAGAGAGAAGATTCCTCAAATTATATTCCAATTATTTTCAATTGCACTCTTGAGATGTTCTTAGCATGACATTACATCCCGTCAAGCTTTCTTATTTTCCAGTTTAAATTGCCAGCAGGTGACACATAGAACAAGAAGTATTCTGTCACATTTCCTGTTTGAAACCTGGTGCTTTTGCTAGAAATGCAAAATCTGTTTTTTAAAAAATAAAAAATAAAATAAAATATGGAAAGCTATTCTGAAATTAATGAATGTTAGGTTTGTGAACGTTTCTAGTTTTCAAATAAGTGCTGCATGAAAGCAAAACGAATGTTGAGAAATTGTAATCATTATTCATTAGTATTTTAATATTTTTTAGTTGGTATATCCTTTGATGTAAGTGCAGTAGATAGTAGAAATGCACAAGATTTCCATTTTTCCAGACAACAATCATAAGATCATAGAATAACAGAGTTGGAAGGGACCTTGGAAGTCATCTAGTCCAGGAGTCACCAACCAGTGGGCTGGGGACCACTGGTGGTCCGCAAGAAAATTTTGGTGGTCCGCAGAGAAATGTCACCCCCAAAGCAATTAATCCAGGCTGCGTGGGAACACAAGGCTGCGCTACCCACATGGCCCGTGGGAACACAAGGCTTGCATCGCTTGCATTGTGCACAACACGAGGTAGTGAGGGGAGGGTGGAAGGGTGGAGGGGGGGACTTGCCCCACTCACCCCATGCGCCTGGCCTGGCCACCGGGCTGCTTCTTTCCACTTCTTTCCTCTTCTGCTTTTGGCTGCACACAAGGAAAGCAGCAAAAGTCTTTCTTTCTCTCCCCCAAACTCCACCAGAAATTAGTCTTTGGGATTCTGCAAGGCCTCCTGCTCCAAGAGGCTGCGCCGGCATGACAAGTCTCACAAAGACTCATTTCTGGCAGAGTTTGAGAGAGAGAAAGAAAGACTTCTTCTGCTTCTGCTGCTTTCCTTGCACGAAGCCAAAAGTCTCTCTCTTCCCCCGCCGCCAAGAACGGAGCTGGAGACGGTGTCCTGCAATCCCAAATAAAGAATGATTGATAGATAGGAAACCAGGGCAGCAGAATTTTCCTGCAGACTTTTTGGGGGATTTTCCCGGGGTCTCTGGTCTGAAGGATTTAAAATTATGAGTTTGGTGGTCCCCAAGGTCCAGAATGTTGGCGATCCCTGATCTAGAGACACACACGAGGCTCCCATCCCAGGAAGTCAAAGGAATGGGGGCCCTAGCTTATCTTCTCTGTAACTGCCCAGTTGCCTCTTGGGAGAGAAAAAAAAGGCACCTTTGGGAGTTGGATGACTGAGAATCTCCACAGACATAAAGTAAGAAGATAACCGTTATTGTCAGGGTGTTGTTGTTTTTTGTGAACACACTGGCACACATTAAAAAAGTGAAATTCTGAGGCCTCGAAAGGAAAAAAATATATATGTTTTTGCGCCTTCATGGAAGGCCAGCAAGGGAAGGGGGGGGGTCACCTCATCTCACTTTCAACGAGGGTTGGTCACCAAACTTTGTGGTCCCTCTCCCCGCCAGGTTAAATCGGGACCACAAGCAGGTCTGTGAGATGGATTGGTCTGACAAGGTGGAAACCTACAACATCGATGAGAAGTGTGGGCGGTACAACAACCAGAGCACTAACATTCAATTCCATCCCAGCTCCTCCAAGTTTGAGGACAGGTGAGACGAGGTCCTAGTTGGGGAAGAACCAAGATCACCAATGATTGCATTGTTGGGCGAAACCCGCCGGACCATCTTCCTTTTTCTGCCCTCAAAGCAGATCACTTTTCAATGCATCTGGTCCTCATTTCCCTTTCCTCTCTTCTCTTTTCCAATCCTCAATCCTGCACTTCTGCAAATGTTTGTCTTAAAGGGAGGATCTTTTGTAACTCAGCCTTGAAATGGAAGGTCCTTGTGCTCTCTGAGCTTGCTTTTTTTCCCTCTGGCAGATGTTTCATGACCCTAACTAGGTAACGTCATCAGTGCTAGAAGGGAGAGGGAGTTACAGAGAGGAGGAGGAGGAGGGCGGCAACCGTGGGGTTCGTGGTGCTCTCTGAGCTCGCTTGTTTTCTTGCAAATATTTTCATGACCCAAACTAGGGAACCTCATCAGTGCTAGAAGAGAGGAGGAGGAGGAGGAGGAGGAGGAGGAGGAG